AAGCGTCTTCGTCGCGTTCCCACCCGCCCTCACGTCGGCCAAGGTCTGCTACACCAACTTTCCTACGGTGAATCTATTTCCCCCCCTCTTCACCTCTGTTATTCATGACGGAGCAGCCCCTCACGACCACGCTGCTCCGACTCCTCCTCCTCCTCGCAGCCGGGATTGAGGCCAATCCGGCGGGACTTCTGATCCGAAAAGGGCTACTAGCCAACCGCAAGTCGAGTTGTTTGAGTTATTTTCTCAAACTGAATACCACCACATTGCTTATGCACACAAATAGATAACGACTTTACGCATCCTGCCTGAACATTCTAAGGATAGGATTACCTATCCTGGTAAGAGGAAAGTCGTCTATATGAACCCATGCGATGCCCTCGAGGCCGTAAATTGTGCATACACGGGCAACAACTTACAGGTGAGACCATCTGTGGCGACTGGTCATATATAGCTTAGATAGTGGGCACACTGCCTCAAGCAGCGCTCGTATTGTTGGCGCCCGTATCTTCCCCCGTTTCTCCCGCCAAAAGTTTCTCGAAGCCATGCATTCCAAAAAAATTGCGCACCAATCAGCGATTGATTTAGACGCTGCGTACAAAGTTCTCCGGCGGAAAAAAATAAGAGACGACGACCAATCACAGTACATCGTGATGCACACGACGGCTACTTACTAACGCATGTTTGAAATCTTAACTGTTTTTTATGCATATTTACTCAAGTCTGACGAAGAAAATATATCCCATAAATTTCCCCTACTTCTCCTAAAGAACGTGTTCGACTCCAAAAAAGACATATATACATGAGGTAACTGACAAAGACACCAGAGACTGGAATGGTAATTTCTGGCTTACTAGCCGTCACCAGTCAGACATATCCCAGCTTCGGAGTTAGGGCACTTTGGATCTTTCCTCATCGACATAACAAAGCTGGTCCTAACCCTCCAAATCTTGTTGGATTGATGAGGACCTGGAAAAAAACTGATCAAACATCAACAGTTCGACCGAAAATTTCGACGATGCCCACCATTAGTTTCATCGAGTTGAAGCAACACGGTGACTTCCGCGATATATATACAGCGAAAGCAGAATTTCGGAGAATCTTCTTCACTCTCTGGGCACTCCTACACCGGGACCCAGTTATCAAGTGGTCAAAGATGAGGAAGCCTAACGACAGTTCCCCTGTCGATTTCGACTATGGGCGCCGCGTGCTCCAACAAGCCGCGGCAAACGCTGAAGCAAACCAAAGCAGACACTGAGGCAAGCTGCACGAAGGCTACAGCAAGCAGAAGCAACGGAGCGAACTACCGCGAACGAAAACAGGAGTAAAAGCAGACTCGCGGGGATCCCACCCACTCGCTCGCTGCTCCCACCCCCGTTTCCGGTTTAAAGACAAAGTCAATAAGACCGGGGGGATGAA